TTGGAATTTCAGCATCAGTCTTTCCAATGAATATTCAGAGTTTATTTCCTTTAGGATTGAGTGGTTTGATCTCCTTATATAACATGAGAGAAAAAGGCAGGGCACAACTTTTGAAAGAATGACATAACGCAAGCATATAACATAAATTGATTAGAATCAAATGGGACCAAGACGGCAGACAAGACTAGACCTTGATCCTAAACCAGCAAGTGAAATGACACACCCAGAGGTGCCATGAGAGTTCCAAGTCACTGTCAAAAGACCATGGAGTGGGCGGTGGCCCAAATCCTGGAAACTTCTGCCCCTTCCCCAGAACAGTTGGAATCATCCTCCTACTCATCAGCATATGAAATTACCCAGCTTATAAAAACTAACCAAGCTACATTTCACTGCTGCACTCACCCTCCGCAATGGTCCACACTCTGTGGAGTGTGTTTTCATCTGTATCTGAATAAAACCACTTTTTACCTATCACCTTGTCTCTCATTGAATTCTTTCTACGATGAGACATCAAGAACCTGAGCTTCATTAGGTCCTAAAACCAGGTACCGTGGGTTTTGACTGGGTTCCAGTCCCAGTCATGTGGGTTCAAGTCCCAATCTGTGGTAAACAGTTTCACTTGGAGTCCAAGGGACTCGCAAGAGTCTTTTCCAGCACCACAACTCAAATGCATCAGTTCTTGGGTGCTCAGTCTTCTTTACGGTCTCTCACATCCATACATGACTACTGGAAAAGCCATAGCTTTGACTTATGGACCTTTGTCAGCAAAGCGATGTCTCAGCTTTTTATACTCTGTTTTGGGCTGTCCTCTTGAAGAAAGTGAAAAAACTGTCTCAGCTTTTTATACTGTCTTGGGCTGTCCTCTTGAAGAAAGTGAAAAAACATTCAAAAAACGAAGATCATGGCATCCGGTCCCATCACTTCATGGCAAATAGATGGGGAAATAATGGAAATGGTAAGAGACTTTATTTTCTTGGGCTAAAAAATCACTGCAGATGGTGACTGCAGCCATGAAATTAAAAGACGCTTGCTCCTTGGAAGAAGCTATGACCAACCTAGATAGCACATTAAAAACCAGAGACATTATCTTGCCAACAAAGGTCCATCTAGTCAAAGCTATGGTTTTCCCAGTAGTCATGTATGGATGTGAGAGTTGAACCATCAAGAAAGTTGAGCGCTGAAGAATTAATGGTTTTGAACTGTGATGTTGGAAAAGACTCTTGAGAGTCCCTTGGACTGCAAGGAGATCAAAGCAGTCAATCCTAAAGGAAATCGGTTCTCAGTATTCATTGGAAGAACTGATACTGAAGCTGAATCTCCAATAATTTGGCCACCTGATGCGAAGACCTGACTCACTGGAAAAGACCTTGACATTAGGAAAGATTGAAGGCAGGAGAAGGGGATGACAGAGGATGAGATGGTTAGATGGCATCATCAACTCAGTGGACATGAGTTTGAGTAAGCTCCGGGAGTTGGTGATGGAGAGGGAAGCTTGGCATGCTGCAGTCCATGGGGTCACAAAGAGTCAGACACAACTGAGCGACTAAATTGAACTGAACAAGGTCTGTCATTACTTTCTGTAAAGGAACAAGCATCTTTTAATTTCACTAAACATGGGCTCCATTCCACCCCAACTAGGTGTGTGGCCTTGGCCAAAGGAACCTCTCTGTGCCATTTCCATGTCTGTAAAATCAGAGCATTAATTACTACCCATGATCTTTTTGAGGATTAAATGAGTTAATTTTAATTGTGGAGCATAAAAACAATGCACTTGGTAAGCAACTGTTAATTTAGTGCCAAGACCAAAATACACCTGGCCCTGTTGTGTCAGGTGAGATAGAGCGCCTTGCAAATCATGGACAACGACCATGTCCCTAACCCAGAACAACATTAAATAATCCATCTAAGAGGATGTGGGAAGACAAAACTAGCTCTACAAGAATCTACAAGGTTAAAATGAATGTCTGAACACTGGTTCTCTTGAGTTCAGTTCAGTTGTCGCTCAGTCACGTCTGACTCCTTGCGACCCCGTGGACTGCAGCATACGAGGCTTCCCTGTCCATCACCAACTCCCGGAGTCCATTGAGTCGGTGATGCCATCCAACCATCTCATCTTCTGTTGTCCCCTTCTCCTCCTGCCCTCAGTCTTTCCCAGCATCAGGGTCTTTTCAAATGAGTCAGCTCTTTGCATCAGGTGGCCAAAGTATTGGAGTTTCAGCTTCAACATCCTTTAGCACAAAGAAAATTCCTGAGCCCAGTAGGGAGGCCAGAGTTGCTCCCTCAGTGACCTGGTTACACCCCCTTCTCCACAGCTCATCCACCTGGTGTGACGCTCAAGGGTGGTTACTGTCAACAAAGTCACCTAGCCCAGGGTTTTCAGACCCACTAACGAAATCAAGTTGATGGGTCACAAGCAGCATTAAAAAAAAAAAGTGGGTAACAGAAACTCTCAGGAATAGTTTCAGGGAAAGTTTGCCATTTATGTGTGGGTGTTCTGAGTGGCAGTGTAAAAGCCATTCTCGCACTCCATGTGCTACTGCCAGAGTTGATCCAGCTGTCAGCTCGGATGCCCAGGAAATGGCGCCTGGGCCAGCAGAGGGCGCCCACACAACATACCCACTGCAGGGCGGGAGGCCCAATAGGAAGTGGCGCCTGGGCCAGCAGAGGGCGCCCACACAACATACCCACTGCAGGACGGGAGGCCCAATAGGAAATGGCGCCTCGGCCAGCAGAGGGCGCCCACACAACATACCCACTGCAGGACGGGAGGCCCNTGTGCAGCCCCTTCCTTCAGTCCTCATTCTTTTCCTTTCTTCCTCCACCCTTCACCTCCCTTTTCCATTCCCACCTCCCTTTCCAGGACACATAAACACACAGTTTCTCAGACAATTCAGCCTTTATTTTTGAAAATAATTCTGTAGCTTAAACTTTCCTCCATGAACTGAGGTCAGGCAAGAACAAAAACACACACGCTCCTCTCCAGCCCACCCGCCTACCGATCTGCACGCCCGGGGACGTCTGGGAGAGAAGGAGGCTGGGCTGAATGGTCTTGGCTGCCGTACCTCACACTGAGAGGGCCTCCAGAAGCCAGGCTAACGTGAACTGTCCTAGAGCAACAGGGAAAGGACTGGTTTTTGGAAAGGACTGGACGGAGAGGTGGGAGGGACAGTGTTTCTAAGAGGAAGAATGAGGGAGGGGTGCCCCAGCATCCAAGGCTTTCTCCCCACCACAGTAGATGAGCTGAGGGAATGTTCTGCTTTTCCCCTTCCCCACTTCATCTTAGAATCATGAACGTCTGGGCTGCATAGAAAGAAGTGCTGAGAGGAGGTCAGAGATGAAGGAGAGGGGAAGAAGAGAAATACAGGCAGGAGGCAGTAAACCCTGACAACCTAACAGCTCTATCCAGACCCTGACGATGATGAAACCCCTTTGGTTAGTCTCATTCTGGCACAGATACAAGCCCTTCTCACATAATCCAGCCTCCTACCCCTACTCCAATTGGGAGAAAGCAGAGATGGCCGAGGACAGGTACAGGGGGAGGGCTCATACTCTGGCTAGAAGAGCCAGGACAGGGAAAAGAGGCCTGATCAAGAGAACTAAAGTTGCCAACCTCTCCACTGATGTCCTAGAATGCCTGGAATGTGGACGTGTGTGGCCATGACAAGCCCAAGTCCCTCCTACCACACAGTGGTTTCTTGCTTAATAACTCTCCCAACATATCCCAGAAAGAGTCCCCTGATTTGACCCCCTTGAGAATGAGAGAATAACCCTCACCTTAACATCTGTGCACTTGAATGCCACTCGGAAAAAGAAAAAAAAAAACAAAAAGATAAACGGACCCAAGAGAGAAACACAGAGAGGACGATGAAGTCCAGGGACTGCGGTCCCATCTTAGGCCATGAGATGCCAAGGAGGGGGCCCACAACGGACACACAGGAGCTGCTAATTCCAGCTAGGATCATAACCCTCCCAGGTCTGGGGTGGGGCCAGGTGGACACGGCGGCCCCGGTACAGGAAGCTGACAACGCCGCGGTAGCCGGCCCTGGGGACCCCAGACTTGAGGTCATCCATGACTCCCAGGGCCTTGGCAAAGGCCTTGAAGCTGTCCCTGCTCGTGTACTGCACTCGCACCTCCTGCAGCTCGCTCCGCTCACTGGTCCTCACTTTCTCCACCTGCAGCAGGGGAGCACCATAGACACGTGCAAGGAAATCCCTGTCGTAGGTCTCCTGTCGCAGGTACGACAGGTCCAGCTGGGTGAAGGGCACGAAGTGCTGGTTCAGCTTGATAAACTTGAGGTGCTGGTCAAAGAACTGCCCGTGGCTCACACCTTTGCGGCCAAAGGTCATTGTTCTGGAGATTTCGGGCCGCACGCAGGCCCGGCCCTGCCGCTGCTCTGGCCGGCGCATCCAGTCGTCCCAAAAGGCCTTGGGCCACTTGGGCTCCAGCTCAGCCCAGAGCTCAGCCAACAGCAGCCAGCCCAGGCCAGGGAAAAAGTCTGTGCGGTAGAGCAGCTCGGGCTTGCCGGAGTCCACCATCTGCTCCTTGCCATTGTCGTTCCAGGCAGACACACACCAGAGGGAGGGGTCGGCCCTCAGCAGTGGGTAAGTGGCCTGAAAGTACTCGAAGAAGTCTGGAGCCACCTCCAGATCATCCTCTACCACCACGGCTGCCGGGAACTTGAACTCGTGAAAGACCTGGCCCAGTGCCCAGCGGTAGTGCCGAGCAATCTTGTAGTAGCCCTGGAACTTTCGGTGGTCAGGTGGCACTGCAATGGTGCTCAGGTCGGGCTGCCGGATGTGCATGACAGCGTTGCCGTAGGAGGCGATAACCTGGGCTGTCTCCTCATGACCGCAGTCCTGGCTGACGATGATGGGAAAGCGTTCAGCTGAAGGCCGGTAATTCAGCAGCTTGTCCAGGCAGCGCCGAACAGTGCTGCGGTCACAGGCGATGACCAGGATGGGGATTACAGCTGGTGGAGTGGTCACAGGCACTCGTGCTGCTAATTCCAGCTAGGATCATAACCCTCCCAGGTCTGGGGTGGGGCCAGGTGGACACGGCGGCCCCGGTACAGGAAGCTGACAACGCCGCGGTAGCCGGCCCTGGGGACCCCAGACTTGAGGTCATCCATGACTCCCAGGGCCTTGGCAAAGGCCTTGAAGCTGTCCCTGCTCGTGTACTGCACTCGCACCTCCTGCAGCTCGCTCCGCTCACTGGTCCTCACTTTCTCCACCTGCAGCAGGGGAGCACCATAGACACGTGCAAGGAAATCCCTGTCGTAGGTCTCCTGTCGCAGGTACGACAGGTCCAGCTGGGTGAAGGGCACGAAGTGCTGGTTCAGCTTGATAAACTTGAGGTGCTGGTCAAAGAACTGCCCGTGGCTCACACCTTTGCGGCCAAAGGTCATTGTTCTGGAGATTTCGGGCCGCACGCAGGCCCGGCCCTGCCGCTGCTCTGGCCGGCGCATCCAGTCGTCCCAAAAGGCCTTGGGCCACTTGGGCTCCAGCTCAGCCCAGAGCTCAGCCAACAGCAGCCAGCCCAGGCCAGGGAAAAAGTCTGTGCGGTAGAGCAGCTCGGGCTTGCCGGAGTCCACCATCTGCTCCTTGCCATTGTCGTTCCAGGCAGACACACACCAGAGGGAGGGGTCGGCCCTCAGCAGTGGGTAAGTGGCCTGAAAGTACTCGAAGAAGTCTGGAGCCACCTCCAGATCATCCTCTACCACCACGGCTGCCGGGAACTTGAACTCGTGAAAGACCTGGCCCAGTGCCCAGCGGTAGTGCCGAGCAATCTTGTAGTAGCCCTGGAACTTTCGGTGGTCAGGTGGCACTGCAATGGTGCTCAGGTCGGGCTGCCGGATGTGCATGACAGCGTTGCCGTAGGAGGCGATAACCTGGGCTGTCTCCTCATGACCGCAGTCCTGGCTGACGATGATGGGAAAGCGTTCAGCTGAAGGCCGGTAATTCAGCAGCTTGTCCAGGCAGCGCCGAACAGTGCTGCGGTCACAGGCGATGACCAGGATGGGGATTACAGCTGGTGGAGTGGTCACAGGCACTCGCGGCGGGACAGGCGGGGCCACGGTGGGTACCCTCCACCGCTGGCTCCACCTAGCATGGTGCTCCCTGATCTGCTGCAACAGGCCCCGCTGCCGCTCCAATTCCACCTCGGCGTCCTGGGCCAGGCGGATCACCTCTCGGGTGAGGCTGGCGGGGTCATCATCAAGAGCACTGTCTGAGGGTAGCCTGCCAGGCGCTGGGCGTGTCCAAAAGAAGAGGAGCAGCAGGGCGTTCCAGGCCACAAAGAGGATGGCGCCCCACAGCACAAGCCCTGCAGACTGCTTCTTCAGCATCCTGGCCCCCGCAGGGGAGGCAGGAAGGGTAGGGCTCAAGGCTGCCCTCAGCTTGCCTGGCTCACACCCCCACGGTTCTAGAGATGCTTCCTCTGGGCTCCGGGATTAGGAAGCAGCCATGAACCTGAGGAGAGGAGAAAAACAACCATCATCACAAGGTGCAGGGCTGCTCCAGAGTAGAAGGGGGGCAGAAACAGATGAGAAAGGTCAGGACAAGGAAGGCCAGGAGGTTAACTCCAGACCTCTCTTAGAAAAGAGCTACCCATTCCCTAATTCAGAGGGTCAATCTGTATGGAAGAACAGGATTAGGATAGCATGCTCCCCGACTCCAAAATGAGTTTATGAATCCTCTAAAAAGAAATGTGGGTTTTTTTGAGGGGGGGAGTGGGGGAGCAGTATATGTAGAGATGTTGGTGGAAGAGAGGAAGCATAGGAACCCCACACACCCCTTCTCTACCTGACAGATTTTGTTTACCATCTTCCATCCAGAGCTTAGGAGAGGTGGGGGGTAAGACCATCTGCCTCCCATTCCTCAAATCAAACTGCCCAAAGATTACTGATTTTAAAATTCTTAATGTCACACCTCAGGACTAAAGCCAGCACCTTACCTAATAAGGAAGCACCAGAGGCATTCCCATGAAGGTCAGGGACCAGATCTACATGACTGTTTAACATTCTGTTGGAGGGATCAGCCAATGCAATTCGACTGTAGAATACAATTACAGGCAGAAGTACAAATGTGCTGATGCTATGAGAATATGCCTGGAAAACTCTAAGAAAAACAATGACAAGTCCAACCCAAACAATCAAAAAATTGAGTCAGGTAGTAGCAGATAAAAATTAATGTGCAAATATCAACAGCCTTCATATCCACAAATAATAACTCATTAAATAAACAATGAATGAGAAAACCTTATTTATAATAGCTATGAAATGATATGAAATGTACGAAATGATACACCATTCAGGAATAAACAAGAAATATGCAAAAACCTACAGGAACTTATAATTCCTGAAAAGACAAAAGACGACTTAAATATCCCTTGTTCTTGGTCAGGAAACCTCAGCTTCATCAAAAATCTCAATAAAAGTAGTTTTTGTAGACCTAGTCAAACTGGCACTGAAATTCAAACAGAACATCTAGGAAAATGATGAAAATGAACAAGCTGTGAAGAGGGACTAGCCCTACCAGATATACTACACATGACAAAGCCTCTATTATTAAAAGTGTGTGATGCTGATCAGATCAAACCAGTCAATCCTAAAGGAAATCAACCCTGAATAGTCACTGGAAGCACTGAGGCTAAAGCTGAAACTCCCAATACTTTTTCCACCTGATACAAAAAGCCAAGTCACTGGAAAAGATCCTGATGCTGGGAAAGACAGAAGTCAGGAGGAGAAGGAGATGACAGGATGAGATAGATGGTTGGATGGCATCACCAATTCAATGGACATGAGTTTAAGGAATCTATGGGAGATGGTGGACAGGGAAGCCTAGTGTGCTGCAGTTCATGGGGGTTGCAAAGAGTCGGACACAACTGAGTGAATGAACAACATAATGCGGTGCTGATATGTAAACAGATCATTCAAGGAAAAGAAATTAAAACAGATCATGCAAAGGAATAGAATTTCAACTACAGAAATAGACCCAAATACATGTAGAAATCTAATGTATGATAAAGAGGATAATTAGAATTACTGGGGCAAAAAAAAAGAATGGTCTTATTAATAGTGTTATAACAACTATACAGGTATTTGCGGACAAAAATAAGATCTGTATACAAGAATAAATTTCAAGTGGACTAGATATTTAAGTAGAAAACTAAAAACATACAAGTGCTAAAAGATTTATGTCAATTCCTCTATAGCTTAGTACAGGGAAAGGCTTTCTAGGTATGCCTTAAAATACAGATGTAGTAAGAAATACAATACTTTTGCATGGCTAAAAATACCATGCGTGCTCAGTTGCTAAGTTGTGTCTGACTCTTTTCGACCCCATGGACTGTAGCCCACCAGGCTCCTCTCTCCATGGAATTTTCCAGGCAAGAATACTGGAGTGGGTTGCCATTTCCTTCTCCAAAAACACCATAAGCCAAGTCAAAAGAAAAATAACTGGAAGAGAATATTTGAAACACATATCACAAATAAAAAGCTGATACCCTAACAGACAAAAAACTTCTTAAAAACTGAGGGGAAAAAAAGCCAAAAATTCCCTGTCTAAAACACTAGCATAACTCACACAAAAAAGTACTAAAATGGCCCATAGATGTATGAAAAGGTGTTCAATTTCACTTATGATAAGAAAAATTCTAATTAAAATTATACTAAGGTAACATTTCTCACCCATCAGACTAGTAAAAATAAAAAATTTGTCCGATTCTCATAAGAGAATCAGTTTAAGAATAGAAGTTCTAATTTTGATGATTTCTAATTTTCAGTTTTGTTTTTTTTTTTTAATGAATCATGTTTTTGGTGTTGTATTTAAGAAATCTTTTGTAGCTATGAATGGCTCTGGATTATTGTGTGCCCGATACTTCCTTTGTGTAAGTTACCCACAATAAACTTCATAACTGCAAAAAAAAAAAAAAAAAAAAACAAAAAAAAAAAAAAAAAACACCAAACCTCACACACACACCTTTGTTGTTTTCAATTTATGAAAGTCCTCCTCCCTCAGTTTTTATTCTAATTTTTTTTTCGTTAATCATGGCTGATGCTTGGTTTTAAAGAATACAGTACGTTAGAGGAACCNAAACAACCCATGAAGAATGTTTGAGGGAGCTTTCCTCATAACAGCCCCAAAGTGGAAACAACCCAAACACCCATCAGCACTGGATACTGATAACTGTGGCTTATCCACGGATCGAAGTAACACTCAGCAATTAAAATGAAGCACAGAAAATAAACAAAATGAATGAAACAAACTACTGATACACACACACATAGACAAATCTCAAGATAATGTTGCAACATATGAAGGAATACATACAGATCAGTGTCTGCCTAGGAATGGAGACAGTGAGACCATCAGGGGAGGTATTACTAGGAAACTTTGTGGGGGTGATAGTTTCATGGGCTGAATATATACGAACAAACTTATGAAAATGCACACTTTAAATACATAAGGTTTACTGTATATCATTTATACCTCAATAAAACTTTTAAAAAAGATATTATTACATCAAATGACAAAATTAGAATATAGACAGTAGATCAAAATATCTAGTTGATCAAAACATCAACTATGACTAGTTGATAACCACACTGTGGTTATATGAAAGAATATCCCAATACTTTTATAATACACAATGAAGTAATTAGGTATAGAGAACCATGGTAGATGCAACTTCTCAAATGTTTCAGAACAAAAATATCAAGAATAAATATGAAGAGAAAACGGAGCAAAATGTTAATAGGTGGATCTGAGTAAAGGGAATATAAGAATCTTTACACCATTTTTATTCTTGCAACTTTTTTGTATTTTGAAGTTATTTTCAAATAAAATCAAACAGAGACATAGCCCACAGCTCTGACTAGCTTCGTCCAATATGGCTCCAGCTAGACACATCAAAAGAACTGGGGACGATCTATTTGTCCTGAAGTCTTCAACCATTCCACAATCTGCCATGATGCCATGAGCTCTCTGCCAGGCTCTGGGAAGAGACTGGGACGCAGAGCCAACAAGAAAAAGGCATGGTCCTGCCAGGCCCCTCACTCTACCAGACCTCATTACTTAAAGGATCTACCACACCCTTCAATGCCAGGACAGCTGCCGTTCTTGACCATGCAACTTTCACCTTGGCATTCCTGCCTCTGGTCTCAACACTTCACACCCAAAAGCTGCAGGTCTGCACTCTCTTGTGCTAGCTGCTCTGCCAGCTACCCTCTGCCTCACAGCCCAGTTCATTAATGCTAACCAGAATCTCGGGTCCCAGATTTCATCTCTGTGCTCCTGGGCTCTCAAGCAGGTCGATCCAGTATCCAAGGATCAAAGGGCTGATCTTTAAGGGTCTCTACAGGGAATGGATCCTGCCTCCCTCCTCTGAGACCCCTCCAGGCCCTGCAAGCACCACCTCCTCCTATCTTCCTTCCAGAAACCATCCACACTCACAACTCCATAGCACCAGTCTTCTTAGAAGCCTCTGTTTTATTGTGTCATTAAATTTCCATTTTATCAGTGCTCATTTACCAATCAGGGTTTCCCAGAAGAGAAACACACACAGATTCCCAGTTTTTCTTCCCTCTGCCTGAGGGTGTGGTCAGTGTTGGAATCCCTAACCCTCCATGTCCTGCCTCCCAAGTGACTGTGTAGGAAAAGACTTCAGGCAGAAGGATGGGGGAAAGAAAAGAGAAACTGAACTCCATCATTTCAAGTGTTGGCTTCAGGGCTGGAGGAGCAGGCCTGTCTCAGACTTATCAATGAGCCACCTCAGGCCAAGAGGCTCTCAGAGTGGTGGCAAAACCCCAAGGGACCATATCCATCCTCACTCTTCTCCAGACATTAGAACTAGGCATCCCACACCCACTACCCCCAGGCCTAGAAGACCTCCCCACCACCCTACTAAGCCAGGCAGATCAAACCAATCTTCTCAGCCCCTCTGCAGACTGTACCCTTAGCACGTCTATAAACCTTGTGAATTGCTAGACAGCTCATAGCAAACAGCTGCCCCAGTCCACCAGGCCTCCAACTTAGCGCTCAGGCCTTTGTTCTCCACTCCACAACCCTTTCCTCTAAATTGTCAAACAGAACTTCCTTCTCTTGCCATCCGAGCACAGGACATAACTATTCTCAGGCCCGCCCCTTTTCCACATAGACTCTCCCACAGTCCCAGTGCCATTTCCTACTACTTCTCCCCTTATTCTCCAGGGCACGATCCTCTTCTCTGCCTACGAGTCAGTGGTGTGTGAATACACAAACGCATGCACTCTCCAGGAGACGGCTGTGCCCATGGGATGAGACAGTCCATCTCTTGGCCAACAGAGCCCATGCACTCATGCAGGAAGCACTGCCGCTCCAAGTCCTCCCGGTGTGGAGGGCATGGCAGTGGCAAGGGCAAGTCAGACAGCCCAGGGCAACGCTTGGGCATCACCCTGAGTCTTTTCACATTGCTGAGACTCAATTTTCTCGCCTCTAAGATGGAAATGGTAGTAGAATACCTCATTGGGTTGCTTTGAGGATTGGCTAAGATAATTCACATTAAGTGTTTAGAACAGTGCCTGGCATGAACAAGGTAAGTGCTAGCCCATCACTTGTCTGTCTCCTCTCTTGGTGGTTCTCTCTGCACCACTCTACTAGAGTCCTTCCAGGGCCCAAACATCCAGGCCTGCCTCAGGGCCTCTGCATGTACTTGTATGCCTGGCCTGCTCTTCTCTCTCTCCTTCACCGAGTGGGTTCTGACTCACATCTCGCCGGACACCTTCCCAGATACCATCGGCCCATGTGAGGTCCACCTCCCCTTCACAACCATCAGCACCAGCACAACACTGTGCTCAGTATCTGTCAAATCCCCTCAGCTACATGTTACTTGAGGCGGACCAGCTTCCCCAGTGCTGCCAAGCTGCTATGCTAGGATCCTCAACATTCAGGAGATTTGCCTGTAACAAAAAAGTGACTTTCATGTGTATGGCACACACCTACAATCACTTAACTGTAATTTCCAAGTCCAAACAATGTTGAAAAACAGAAGTTTTCCACACTTGTTTGGTATAACCTCTTTTGGAGAAATCTAATCTAATGTGAGGCTACTTATAGCCTTTATTTACCACATTCATATATTTTGCTACAGAAATAAACATGCTGGACTATGGTATGCTGCTCCAGATCTTAGACTATATCATAAATGTACTAGGTCATCTTTTTTAATCCAAAAATTTCTAAATTCTGAAACACATCCAGCCCCAACAATTTCAGAATTATGAAAGTGGAAGACAAAGTAATTCTTTCACTGCTACCATCCCATTTCAAGATCTCAAACCCTTTAACCTGACTGGGTTTCTCAGCTGGTCCACCTATCACTAACTTTGCTTCCCTTTAAGCAACCTTCCCAATAGCAACAGAGCATCCTTCTTAAAGTACACAGCTGATCACAACACTCACCTGCCTTAAAAAACATACTGCCACTACCCACAGAATAAAATTCAAAATCATTATTATGACACACAGGGCCTTCACAACAAACTGACTCAACCATCCCTTTCAATCTCACCTCCAACCACTAACTCCATGAACTGCATACTCTGGCTTCAACAGGCTACTTACCTCCCCCAGTTAGTACCCTTTATACACTGCTGTCTCTGCTCTGGCTGGTCCTGCA